ATTTTTGTCCGAGTTGTTTATCCAATGGAAATACAGTAACCGATGCAGGTGATCGGATAAATTTGAACCGGCAATCGATTATTGGTCACATTGGGCTGCAGGCGCATAAATTTAGAAAGCCAAAGTCGCACTGCATTACATGATCGTCATTCAGGAGAATATGTGAAATGTACCTGATATACTATACAACCCGTTGTGGTCTGCACTGACAAAGGAGATATACAGTACTCATTCCACCTGAATTTTATGCATTGACTAGTCAAAGTACTTACATTAGACCAACCCATTCTTGATCCAATAAGAATATATAATTACATTCTTTGCAAACGATACATTACCTTTAGTGTGCTTTCTTTTTTATTGAAACTCTAATTTGATCTCGTCTACTTATGCATATACTATTATGACGTTGCAAACAACCGTATTCTGAAGAACACTATCTTCATTGAGTATAGTCTCTATTGTTTAATTACTGGTAAATACGTTCATAAAAGTTTTTCCAATTCTACCCCTGACGAAATTGAAGCTGACGATAAGCAAAGTTACGAAATTTTTACAACGTTCTTCATTTTGTGCTGTAGTTGCATTTTACGTCTCTGCACAAGCAATTACATTTATTAACACCTTTACATAGTCTTTATCGGGTTAATCATTAACTTTGAGAGTAAACCTGACCGGATATTTGAAGAGTATGTGACAAAAATTAAAGTTACCGATATCGAATCAGCATTTGTACATGTCATTAACACAGACTCTATTTCTTATTGCTGATGCCTACATCACAACCGAACACAGTACTGCTAGATTCGTCTGACTTAAATCAGACTGAGTGTTAATATGTCTATGCAGAGTACTGAATTGAAGGAACGAACATTTGATTTTTATATATATTAGTATGTCGAAAAGTTTTATGCATGATGAGTTTTCCCATAATGTTCAAAATGATAAGCCTAGTTTGCACTCTGTCTTGTGTGCATTAAACTAATGAATGCTGAACCGCGTTGTTGGCAATGAGGTTTGGCTAACGGTAACATATGCGATCCTGAATGGGGTGGTTATGTAGATCAAATTTCCCAAGTTCAGAAAGAAGTTGGACTAACAAACACATGGGAAAATCCATCGGTGAAACCACAACAATCCATGTATGTTCTAACACTCCCTATCATTGTGTAACTATATAAATAGACGGTTGCATTATAATAACATATAAATAATAAACTTTATTATGCTGTTGTACTACACATTCCTTTTCCCCTCCAATCTTTTAGAGCGCCTAACACTAACAGGAATTTCCTCCACCATTTGGACGTCTCCACAGATCCTGAAATATAAGAAAAAAGTGTTAACTTACTTCTGACGTCTTATCAATGATGAACTGTAGTTATTGATAACAGACTTACCCTCCTCACTCTCTCTTGCTTCACTATCTACCCCACTGACAGTATCGTCACTTGTTCTGTCACTGCTGCTATACTCCACGTCCGTCAAATCACTCGCATCTGTTAAATAAGGCACCAATTTTTCAACAATAAGTCAATTTTATAAAAAAAAATAAAATAAAAAAAAGGAAAGAGTGATAACAAATTTACCCTTTTCCTCAAACGTTTCCAACCGCAACGCTTCAGCCCGAGCTTTTGCGTTAGCGTTCAAACCTTCTGCCTCAATCAAAGTGTTTGGCTCTAACTGACCTGTTGCCAGGTTTTAAGTACCTCAGCACCTGTGCCACAGTGGATCGTAAACGCTCTGTGCCTACCATCGCACACCGTGAGAATGGCATGGCAATTTTATGTGCGCAGGATTTTGAACTGTTGGTGTGACAAAATTTCAGGCAGTTCAGTCTGTGAATCTTTGACGACGTAACCATTATACACAATAACACTTACATACCTGTTTATGTATCGTCTCCAAAGCGGAGTTTATGACACTCTGTCTAATGTCATTTTCCGTAATATAATTTTTGGAGGCTACAGTAGCAGTTTATTGTTATTAATACTAATGCGTAATTGCATAATAAATTTGCATTATTTACCATCTTTAAATTTGTTGGGTCAGCTGATTGGCCCGCTCCTTATAATAAGCTCTTTCGCTGGCGCTTAGCTCATTCCACGCATATTCGGCAATGCAATCTGTTTTCTTGAGCCCACCAAGACCTTCTATGGCGATGTCCACGTGCTCCTTCAAATATTCTAAAACAATACTCATTGGTAGTTGCAAGTCTCAAAAAAAAAAGAAAAAAAAAAAAGACAAAATCAATTACCATTGACTTTGGTTTTTTGAAAGAATTTTTTCATAAAAATGTTATATCCCGACAGTGCACGCTTCGCTGTCGGAATGCGTATCCGAGGTATTGTTGGATTTCTTGGCGCCGTAGGCTTGTGCTTAGCCTTTTCGTTGGAAATCCAGTTTTGCAGAAATATTGATTATCAGCGTAAGTAGATTTTTTTTGAGAAAAGTCGGTTTAATAATTTTACATACTTTAATGGTATTCATGGCAAGACCTGTTTCTGAGGCTGCTCTCTCGATCAAACCTACTTCGTAGTGGTTGATCATGCCTGCTACAAATTTCTGTCCGAGAATGTAGATTCGTTCTCGAGTAAATACTGTGCGTGGTTTGCGTGTCATGGCTACTATAAAATGAAATGACGATGAAATGCTTGGTAGTCAGGTCATGATGAGAGAAATTGGAACACTTTTATATGTGTGGAAAGAATTTTCAAACTATATGCAGGAATCGTATGATCCATGTCGCGATTGATCGTAAACAATATTATACGTCATATTGTATTCATTTTTCTCCATCAAACATCGTATAATCTATGTCGCGATTGGTCTCATGCAACATTCAGCTTGCTTCATCAACGATCGTATGATTAGATTATGTCGCAATTGATTGCAAATAACATTACACGTCATATGATGTTCCGCCAAAGATCGTATGATATAACAGAGTAATATAACAGAGTAGAAAGTAAAATGACGTCACATAACACACTAGTACAGCAATGTCTATGTAATGTACAACATTTTCTACAAACATTTTTCATTTTCATTTATACATTTTTTTACCTACCATCTTTTTTTAAGGTGATGTTTTACTTGATCGATTTAACAGGGCAAGGAAATGTTGGCGACAATCAGATTATCAATTCCAAACGGACAAGTTATCTTAACAAACGAAAACATCAGCCAGCGGAAAGTCTCGCATAAGAGAGCCATATTGCATGATAAGAATAACAGAAAACAACGTACAGTGGTCAATCAAGAAGATTTAAAAATCAAATACTTTGGACACTTGTGGGTTTACCGAGCCGCCAGGTACATTTTACAATAACATTGAGGTCTTGAAAAGTACCTTTTTTTTTAGGTCAGCTGCTTGAGCTCGCGCCGCTATGTTAAAACTCGAAAGAAAACACTTTGTACGTATAACATTGCATCGTTTTATGTTTGGGATAAATTCGAATCTATGCTAATATTTATAGATTGTTTAGGAATTATCAAGGTGGTCAGAGGACACGGAGGAGTACAAAAACGCGGCCAAACTCTACTTTGAACATAAGAAGAAAGAACAACTCTCGATTGTTCAGAGTTGGGCGTCAGAATACAAGTATTATAAATATTTGCTGACAAAAAGTGGACATAGTAAGTATTCTTTGAAACGTATTTATCAAAGTTTTTAACAAAACTAAATTATTTATAAATTTTTTTCTAGTTGGGTATAAGCGAGCTAAAAAAACTACCCAAGCGATGTCGAAAGCTGCCAACAAGTTAGGCAAAAGCATTCTGGCATACAACAATCTTTCATAGCAGTCAGGGTATTTTTTTGAGGCTGACTATGACGACGACGACTGTTGGATTTGGCAACATTTTGACGGGCTACAGACGGCCGGTAACGTGCAATCGAGCACTCAGTTGGAGCTATCTGCATTAAAGATAAATTTGATAGGTCTCTCGAGGAACTAGGGTTTTTGCGAGAAGAAATAGAAATGTCGAGATTGTCTGGAAGAAACACTTTGCATGGATTAGAAAAACCGTATCTTTACAATAGTTGTTTATTTATTATTTATAATCTTTTTTGTTTGTTCAATAATGACAGGTTTCTAGCTTCTTCTTTGTAAAATAAGTCTTTTCGTAATGTACATGTTGAGTGCCCGACCCCATTGACAACATGATGCCCATCAATGTCAACGTTAAACGCTTAAGTGTTACACTCTATACAAATTGTAAAATAATCCATCGCCTTCTTTTCACGGACAGGATAATATATTTATTTATACTTACACATTTTCAACAATTTTGGCAACGTATTTTTCCTAACGGTGATATAATTTGTCAAGCCACTTAGTAATAAAACTGCACTGTATTATACTAACCACTAATAATGATTGGACTTTTTGTTGATCAATCCAGGCATTTTATTATTGTTATCTAATACGATAGCTGTCACAGTCAGTTTATCTGGTTAATTACTAAAGATCATTATTGTGGAATAATCTAGCTAATGACTAATGATTATTATTGTGGGATAATTCAGCTAATTACTAATGATTATTACTGTGGGATAATCTAGCTAATTACTAATGATTATTACTATGGAATAATCTAGCTAATTACTAATGATTATTATTGTGAGATAATCCAGCTAATTACTAATGATCATTACTATGGGATAATCCAGCTAATTGCTAATGATTATTACTGTGGGATAATCCAGCTAATGACTAATGATTATTACTGTGGGATAATCCAGCTAATTACTAATGCTTATTATTGTGGGATAATCCAGCTAATTGCTAATGATTATTATTGTGGGATAATCCAGCTAATTACTAATGATCATCACTATGGGATAATCCAGCTAATGACTAATGATTATTACTGTGGGATAATCCAGCTAATTGCTAATGATTATTACTATGGGATAATCCAGCTAATTACTAATGATTATTACTATGGGATAATCCAGCTAATGACTAATGATTATTACTGTGGGATAATCCAGCTAATTACTAATGATTATTACTGTGGGATAATCTAGCTAATTACTAATGATTATTACTGTGGATCATCCAGCTAACTACTAATGATTATTATTGTGGGATAATCTGGTTAATTATTAATGATCACTGGGACAATCAGGTTAATTACTAATGATCGCATTATGGGATAATCTGGTTAATCACTAATGATGATTAGTGTGGGATGATCTGGTTAATTACTAATGATCACATTATGGGATATCCCGTAATGACTAATGATGAGATAATGATCGACGGGTTGTGTGCATAATGATCGCGGGATGATCCCGTTAATGATGTGCGCACCGGGTGAAGTTCAATCGCATATTACAATTGTAAATCTACAGTTACTTTCTTTGACCACTTATAAATTGACTCGTTATCAATTAATGGAACCATGTTCTCAGTACTTCAAAATCAATTGATATCAGATCACTCACCCCCTCTTTAGTAACATCGAACCGTAAAGCTGCGACATGACCATCATTTTGAACTACTCTATCTCAGTACTTCAGAAATCACCCGATATCAGATCGCTTCCCCTCCCTCTTTAATAGATTTCAAAAGTTTTGTTCTTCGGCTCTTCCGTTCCCACTCTAGACCACACTCTAAGCTCTCTAGTAAAGTTTTATCAGTGTAAACTAAGCAATATAATAATAAAAGCCACATAATATGTTTTAAATATAGATTTACGATTATGTTAATTGAACATTGTTTGTACCCTCCTCAACCGTTGTCTAACATGGTGTGCTGCAACGTCTGTAGCTTTCTCTTCAGCATAATTGGTCTTTTTTTCCAAACTGTGCCGTGCCTCGTTAGAAGACTCGTTTGTAAGTTGTAGCGACATTATGGATGGGCTACGACCATCGATTCCTGTTTTCATTCTCTAAAACGAAATGAAGAAATTCCGTCCATTGATGCGCCTTCTTCATCCGCGAATGCTACCACCGGCAATCTCGGTAAAAGAATGAGTATTTAATACGAGGGCCTAGTTTTTTGTTGCAATGTTCAAGCCATTTCGTGTGTCGTCCAAACTGACTGATTTGTCGTTATCTGCACTAAATAGTAATAACGTTGTACTGACGCTTTAGAGAAAAAGCTGTTGTTGTGAAGCAACACATTGCGCAGTAGAGAAAAACGTCTGGGTGTATACATATAAGAGTCGTGTGTTTGAACCTTTTAATTTAGTTAATGGTCGATAAAGCGTATTGTTAAATAACTTTTCCCGTGAGTTGTCACTAAAGATTTATCGGCTGAACATTTAACAATGTCGTTTTTCGTTTGAAGGAGAAGCCGTTGTGAAGCAATAGGTAGATAGAGCAGTGGTCGATAAATCGTGTTGTCGTTGTAGAGTTGTTTGTCGTTACGTCTTATTATGACGTTAAACTTTGAGAGAACATTGTATTTGTGCTTTGGAATTGTATAATAATAATTGTCTAGTGATGGCAAATTCATCTTCCCTCGTCCGTAGTAACAAATTAACATTAACGAACTTAATACATATCTAACCAGTCTGTTTTTTAGTTAATAATTAGTACAGACGTATTCAGTTTAGTTTTCACTGATCAGAATGTAACATTTTCGACATGGCGGAAACTATTCGCAACAACTCGGTAATGATCTTTCAAATAGTTTTCCCCACAAATGCATCTTATTCGCAAATAAAAGCTCACAGTGATATTCGTCTCTCCTGATTTAGGTTCATTGTGAAAAATTATTACTTTTATGTTCGCCGGTGGTGTGATGCATAAACATTTGCATGTAGCAGTAATAGAAAAAGAGTTAAAGCTGATACAGTAAATTAATCCAATCAAGTAAATTACCATACAACGAGACAATTCACATTTTGTAAAAAATAGGACGTGAAGGTTTGCATTCTACACCTACGATTGAACGCTAAAGATGTAGTAAAAAATAGGACGTGGGGTGGTATGCTTTCGAACTATTCTGCCGAATTAGTATTATCGCGGCTGTACGTATGTAACATTCTCCTAATACTAATTGTTACACCTAATTAATCAACTTCACGTTACACTACATCTCGGATGCTTGCCGTATTTTTCCTAGTCGAAATTGGAGCTGACATATTAATATAACATATTTAATACTGGTACTAGTATCTTTATGCTGCTTATACGAAAATGGAGAACGGGAATCAACATGTGTTATACCACAGAGCGGCCGAACAAGGACTTGCCAATATGCAATATATTCTTGGTGTATGTTATGCCGATGGAATTGGAGTGGAAAAGGATGAACAAAAAGCAGTTGAATGGTATGAAAAAGCTGCTGAACAAGGATATGATAATGCACAATACAATCTTGGTGGCTGTTATTATTTTGGAATTGGGGCAGAAAAAGATGAACAAAAGGCAGTTGAATGGTATGAAAAAGCTGCTGAACAAGGATATGCTGATGCACAAAATAATCTTGGTGTGTGTTATGCCAATGGAACTGGAGTAGAAAAGGATGAACAAAAAGCAGTTGAATGGTATGAAAAAGCTGCTGAACAAGGGCTTGCCAGAGCTCAATATAATCTTGGTGGCTGTTATTATAATGGAACTGGAGTAGAAAAGGATGAACAAAAAGCAGTTGAATGGTATGAAAAAGCTGCTGAACGAGGATATGTCAATGCTCAATACAATCTTGGTGTATGTTATGAACGTGGAACTGGAGTAGGAAAGGATGAACAAAAAGCAGTTGAATGGTATAAAAAAGCTGCTGAACAAGGATATGCCAATGCTCAATTTAATCTTGGTGTATGTTATTCCAATGGAATTGGAGTAGAAAAGGATGAACAAAAAGCAGTTGAATGGTATGAAAAAGCAGTTGAACAAGGATATGCCAATGCTCAACATAATCTTGGTGTATGTTATGCCAATGGAACTGGAGTAGAAAAGGATGAACAAAAAGCAGTTGAATGGTTTGAAAAAGCAGCTGAACAAGGATATGCCAGTGCTCAATATTATCTTGGTGTATGTTATACCAATGGAACTGGAGTAGAAAAGGATGAACAAAAAGCAATTGAATGGTATGAAAAAGCAGCTAAACAAGGAATTATTCCTGCTCAATATAATCTTGGTGTATGTTATGATAATGGAACTGGAGTAGAAAAGGATGAACAAAAAGCAGTTAAATGGTATGAAAAAGCAGCTGAACAAGGAGATGCTGGTGCTCGGCAAGAGGTTCTAGAATTTTGAAAACAGCAATAATTAGTATTAGGTGTAATCATATCCTTCTATTCTACCCCAC